CAGAGAATTAAATAACTTGTTTAGGACCTCCTAGCTAGTAGGTGGCAGAAACTTGACTTGAGTGCAGGTCTGGCTGACTTCGAGGTGTGGCGGCTTTTTACTGTAGTGTTTACCAGAGCAGCTTTTTTTATGGGAGGAGGCAATAGGAGTGTGTATGTTGAAGGAAGAAGGTGATGGAGAAGAGTGGAGACCAACTTCTCTCATACCTATCACACACCTATGATAGTATTTTGTTGCTTTGAATTACACAGCATTGGCACACATTTCAAATTTCATATTTATTGAAATAAAAAATTGGGAGCCACAGGCCCATGCCATAGGCACTAAGTAGATGATAGCATATATTGTTATTATTCTATGTATTCTTTCTTTCTTACTAATCAACCTCTGAGGTAAGGAGCACTCTTACATATCCGTAACCCTGATGACTAGGACAGTGCTCTACCAGAACAGGCACTTAATATATATTTGTGTTTTTTATAGTTGTTGAGATGTAAATACGTAACGTGAGATTTTCTGAGCAGGGGGGTTTCTATCCCATATTAGCTGTTTTTAGTTCAGATCATGTGATCTATACCTAATATACATATTTTAATTTTCTCTCTTTCAATAACTGTTGCCTCAAAGGGAAAAATGTAAATCTTTGGCTGAATGGTATGCAGCAACAGATATAAAAATTTTTAAATGTTAGACCTAGGAGCTACTTCCCACACAATTGATGAGTTAAAAAGAAAGAGAGAGAAAAAGAAAGAGGACAGAAATCAACAGAGAGAGAGAGAGAGAGAGACAGTGAAAACTGGGTCTTGTAGAGAGACAAGTACTCCCAATTCTAGACTCTCACTTGGTCTGTAACTTTTAAGTTCTCTTCTTCTGTTTCTCTTGTGCAAAATGCTGCTAACAACGCTGTAGCACAGGCTTGTTGTTAGAGTAAAATGAAATAACAGGACAAAAATACATCAAGCATGGTAGAAAAATGCCATTTAAATGTCAAATATTCATAGAAAGTAAATTGAAGACAAGGTGTGGGTGTGTTTGGTTTTATTAATAATAAATAAAAGAACTAAATACATAATCTAGATATTTGCTAAAATAGGAACTGCTTAATAAAATAATTCAATATAGTATAATGGTAAATTGTGAGACTTCCCATTGCTTTAAATTTTTGAATAAATATTTTTATTGAGGTATAATCCTATTGAGTTTAAAAGCAATTAAATTTACAAAAATTTAACTTACAGATTTTTAAGGTCACATTCACTGCGTTGGGTAAAGCAGGATGTATCTATAATTTATTGCCAGTGACAGAGTGGGGACTTGAAACACTAAAGATATTGTTATCTACAATGCAAAGCTGTGAAATGATTAGTGTGAATTAAGTGCCAAGGTTTTCTCTAAAATGGGCCCGCTGTAAAAATCAGCAGCGTGCCGGTTCAACAAATATTTAATTAGCGCTGTGATTTCCAAGAAACCGTGCTGGGTACTGAGGAGGAAGCAAAGACGAACAGCATCAACAGGGGAAGACAAGGCAAGACCCTAGTAACAGGCTGCGAAGCAGGATGGGGCATCATAATGTAGAAAAGGTAAAACAGGAAGAACCTGGTGGAGCTTAAAATAATTAACTTTTCCTGCTTGTCCTTTTTCTTTCCTTCTTCATTTAAAGGAACAATTTTTTTTCTTTTTCACACGTGTCAGGGTGCTTGTCTGCTGAGAATCCACGACCCAGTGAAATCTCCTCTATTCCCTATTCTTACTTTCCTCCTATATTCGATGAGCTCCTTCGCCATCCGCACTATATTTGGAATGATATCTATTGTGTGGGTGGAGAAACGGTGGAAAGTTATTTCTGTTGTAATTATGAGAACTGGGGGAGGAGGAAAGAGGAGGGGAAGGAGGAGCAGACGGAAGACTGAGACGTTCAGAGAGGATGCTCCGAGGAGGCGTTACTAAGGTTACTAGAAAGAGGATGGCGGGTGATATTCAGGCAGAGCTTCTTTAAAAACAAAACAAATTTTCAAAAAGAGGGGTGTGGGCTTAGTGCGAGCAGGTATATTAGATAATGGGCTCCCGAGAGGGAAAGAGAAAGAGGCCCAGGAAAAAACAGAACTGCAATTTCGAGAAAGCAGGAAGCCTCTGCCTCTCCTTCCGGCCCTTTTCTCCCTCTGTCTTTGTTTCCTGGGGTGATTCTAGCTGTAGCACGAGGACGGGGACGGTGTCATTTCAGTGCCACACACGGTCCAGCTAGTCCGGAAGCGGCGTCTAGTCGGGACCCGTAGAGAGAGGCGGGGAACGGGCGGCGGCGGCGGCGGCGGCGGGGAGACCGAGCGGCCGGGCGGCCGAGGCGGGCACTGCGCCGGCTCCCTGGGGCCCTAGGTCGTTGCTGCAGTCGCCGGGAAAGAAGCAAGCGACGGCTCAGCGGGCGAATTTGGGAGGAGGGGAAGGGGTGTGGAGAAGGGCCAAAAGTGTATTGGGGTCGGGAAGAGGGACCTTGACACCTGTTCCTCGTGTGCTACTTGTTGATGATCTTGTTTTTGTTCTTGTTGATAGATTCGGTAGACACCAGGCGTCTCCCACCTCGAAATTCTCTCGGCCCTTTTCAGTTGATTCATAGCCAAAAGTGAGTGAGAGCTCTTTAATGCAACCCGACTGATTTGAGATAGTTCAGGATGCCGAACCCCCTGTGCCATAGGTATTATTATAATCTTCATTTTATAGATGGGGAAATTAAGACTCAGAGAATTAAATAACTTGTTTAGGACCTCCTAGCTAGTAGGTGGCAGAAACTTGACTTGAGTGCAGGTCTGGCTGACTTCGAGGTGTGGCGGCTTTTTACTGTAGTGTTTACCAGAGCAGCTTTTTTTATGGGAGGAGGCAATAGGAGTGTGTATGTTGAAGGAAGAAGGTGATGGAGAAGAGTGGAGACCAACTTCTCTCATACCTATCACACACCTATGATAGTATTTTGTTGCTTTGAATTACACAGCATTGGCACACATTTCAAATTTCATATTTATTGAAATAAAAAATTGGGAGCCACAGGCCCATGCCATAGGCACTAAGTAGATGATAGCATATATTGTTATTATTCTATGTATTCTTTCTTTCTTACTAATCAACCTCTGAGGTAAGGAGCACTCTTACATATCCGTAACCCTGATGACTAGGACAGTGCTCTACCAGAACAGGCACTTAATATATATTTGTGTTTTTTATAGTTGTTGAGATGTAAATACGTAACGTGAGATTTTCTGAGCAGGGGGGTTTCTATCCCATATTAGCTGTTTTTAGTTCAGATCATGTGATCTATACCTAATATACATATTTTAATTTTCTCTCTTTCAATAACTGTTGCCTCAAAGGGAAAAATGTAAATCTTTGGCTGAATGGTATGCAGCAACAGATATAAAAATTTTTAAATGTTAGACCTAGGAGCTACTTCCCACACAATTGATGAGTTAAAAAGAAAGAGAGAGAAAAAGAAAGAGGACAGAAATCAACAGAGAGAGAGAGAGAGAGAGACAGTGAAAACTGGGTCTTGTAGAGAGACAAGTACTCCCAATTCTAGACTCTCACTTGGTCTGTAACTTTTAAGTTCTCTGCTTCTGTTTCTCTTGTGCAAAATGCTGCTAACAACGCTGTAGCACAGGCTTGTTGTTAGAGTAAAATGAAATAACAGGACAAAAATACATCAAGCATGGTAGAAAAATGCCATTTAAATGTCAAATATTCATAGAAAGTAAATTGAAGACAAGGTGTGGGTGTGTTTGGTTTTATTAATAATAAATAAAAGAACTAAATACATAATCTAGATATTTGCTAAAATAGGAACTGCTTAATAAAATAATTCAATATAGTATAATGGTAAATTGTGAGACTTCCCATTGCTTTAAATTTTTGAATAAATATTTTTATTGAGGTATAATCCTATTGAGTTTAAAAGCAATTAAATTTACAAAAATTTAACTTACAGATTTTTAAGGTCACATTCACTGCGTTGGGTAAAGCAGGATGTATCTATAATTTATTGCCAGTGACAGAGTGGGGACTTGAAACACTAAAGATATTGTTATCTACAATGCAAAGCTGTGAAATGATTAGTGTGAATTAAGTGCCAAGGTTTTCTCTAAAATGGGCCCGCTGTAAAAATCAGCAGCGTGCCGGTTCAACAAATATTTAATTAGCGCTGTGATTTCCAAGAAACCGTGCTGGGTACTGAGGAGGAAGCAAAGACGAACAGCATCAACAGGGGAAGACAAGGCAAGACCCTAGTAACAGGCTGCGAAGCAGGATGGGGCATCATAATGTAGAAAAGGTAAAACAGGAAGAACCTGGTGGAGCTTAAAATAATTAACTTTTCCTGCTTGTCCTTTTTCTTTCCTTCTTCATTTAAAGGAACAATTTTTTTTCTTTTTCACACGTGTCAGGGTGCTTGTCTGCTGAGAATCCACGACCCAGTGAAATCTCCTCTATTCCCTATTCTTACTTTCCTCCTATATTCGATGAGCTCCTTCGCCATCCGCACTATATTTGGAATGATATCTATTGTGTGGGTGGAGAAACGGTGGAAAGTTATTTCTGTTGTAATTATGAGAACTGGGGGAGGAGGAAAGAGGAGGGGAAGGAGGAGCAGACGGAAGACTGAGACGTTCAGAGAGGATGCTCCGAGGAGGCGTTACTAAGGTTACTAGAAAGAGGATGGCGGGTGATATTCAGGCAGAGCTTCTTTAAAAACAAAACAAATTTTCAAAAAGAGGGGTGTGGGCTTAGTGCGAGCAGGTATATTAGATAATGGGCTCCCGAGAGGGAAAGAGAAAGAGGCCCAGGAAAAAACAGAACTGCAATTTCGAGAAAGCAGGAAGCCTCTGCCTCTCCTTCCGGCCCTTTTCTCCCTCTGTCTTTGTTTCCTGGGGTGATTCTAGCTGTAGCACGAGGACGGGGACGGTGTCATTTCAGTGCCACACACGGTCCAGCTAGTCCGGAAGCGGCGTCTAGTCGGGACCCGTAGAGAGAGGCGGGGAACGGGCGGCGGCGGCGGCGGCGGCGGGGAGACCGAGCGGCCGGGCGGCCGAGGCGGGCACTGCGCCGGCTCCCTGGGGCCCTAGGTCGTTGCTGCAGTCGCCGGGAAAGAAGCAAGCGACGGCTCAGCGGGCGAATTTGGGAGGAGGGGAAGGGGTGTGGAGAAGGGCCAAAAGTGTATTGGGGTCGGGAAGAGGGACCTTGACACCTGTTCCTCGTGTGCTACTTGTTGATGATCTTGTTTTTGTTCTTGTTGATAGATTCGGTAGACACCAGGCGTCTCCCACCTCGAAATTCTCTCGGCCCTTTTCAGTTGATTCATAGCCAAAAGTGAGTGAGAGCTCTTTAATGCAACCCGACTGATTTGAGATAGTTCAGGATGCCGCCAGAGGAGGGAAAAATACGAAGGGGAAAGGAAAGGAGGAGCTGGTGGTGCGTGGTGTGGGAACAAGATGATGAAGATAATAAACATCACAGGGTTTTACTATACCAGACACTCTTCTAAAACCCTTAATATGTGGTAACTCATTTATTGTGCAGTGCTGTGCGACCGTACTCGTTAACCTTATTTTATAGTTGGAGGAAACAGATTGAGAGAGGCGAAGGAACGTGCCCCAGAAAAGGTAAATGGAAAGTCTAGAGCCAAGATTTGCATTCTGGTAGGCTGACCCCAGAACACATCTCAGCTTCACAGAATGGTTGTCCCCAATCAAGATGAGGAAGGTGACAGGACATAGTGGGAGGCCAGTATGACTTGAACAGGTGTGATAAGCTAGTTGGGGTAAGGAGTTGACAAAGCGTGTGAGAGGCAGGCGTTTCTGTAAGGTGGCAGTTGTAAGCAAGGGTAGAGGTGGAATTGTGACCTAACCTTGCCTTGGGCCTTCTTCTAGAATTTTGTGGGACAGGGAAGAAAGGTATTCACCCACACACCTAAGTTTGGAAATGGAATTAAGAAGATCGCAGACTCAAAGGATTTTATTTGATGTAACCACCTTATTTAATAGATGAAGCCCAAAGGGATGAACTAATTTATTCAGGTAACCAGGACTAGAGCATATCTATTGTTTTAGGGCCAATGCAGTGAGGTTTAGGGAGTTCTTTTCTCCTTTTCCTGCTTTACTTGTTATAGTGAATATTAAAGTTAAGAAATTTGTTGTATTATTTGACCCAGACTGTTTCTTGTAACCACATGAATTGGGTACTTAAGACATTAGTCAAATCATCATCCATCCCCCAGTAAAGTGTTCCAAATTCAATGTAATGCTGAAATCATGAGCTGCTTCTAACACAACTGAGTGATAGTTGGAATCTTACAGTATTTCTAGGACTTCCAAAGTTCAGTAGGCCAAAGAGTGAAGTGGTTTACCTAGAAGAAAATAGGTTTAAAAGAAAAAGGAAATCTACATGTATATTGAAAAATGATAGGAAAATTTTCATCAGTTGATAGTGTACTTTTCGCCAATCCAGTGAGTCTAATGGATTATAATAATGAAAATGTTAGCATCATTCAGAGGCTATTTGGAGTTGTTGAAATTGTGGGCTTAAGAATCAATAGATAAGCATAGCTGCTTATTTGCTCTGTATAATTGATATACTTCATTTATCCTTGATTTCTTCATCTCTAATAAGGAGATAATATTTCCTAATTTGCAGAATTAGAAGCAGTGTTAGTAAAATCTCTAGCATAATGTCTGGAACAATGTTGGTAGATAAAGAGCAACTGTTATTCCTCTTAGTCAAATAAAAGTGAAGCATTGCTGAATCTTGTATGTAGTCACATGGCAGCTTCTAGATCTCATTTTCAGTGAGGAGGTCAAAGAGTAACCTCCTTTATTGGCCTAATAGTAGTTAAGATGAAAATGTTGATTCATTTTCTGAAGGGTATATCTGTTATGTCAAAGTAATTGAAAGTTTTAGGTGACTTTATGGCCCGTGAACAGTGATATACCCACCACAATCCTTTAAACCTATTGTGTCTTTTAAAGATAACTTATTCTTGAACTATTCTGTTTCCTGACCTATGGTTGACTTATGTTCTAAGTAACATTGTACTTTTTTACAGATGCATGGTCATGGAGGCTATGACTCTGATTTTAGTGATGATGAACACTGTGGAAAATCTAGCAAAAGGAAAAAAAGGTAAATAATTTTTTACTGATTTTTATTTCAGATCCTTTCTAGATAAAGATGAGGTATAAATAATATTGAAAGTTTTTGGATTGTGTTTGCATGTGAAGATGATGCTCTACTGAATGAATTTTTGTTCATTAAATTAGAATGAGTTAACTCAAATTTGAGAATGGTTGTGTTAAAAATAATGTTTATGCTGTGTAGGGATTCGTGGAAAGAGAAGGGGAAAAAAGGGAAACCAGTTAAAGCTTTTAGATTTTTCTGTTGCATCTATTTTTCATTCAGTCATCAAGGACTTCTATTTGCAGTTGTCATAACTAAGAAGAGGCTTGGTTGGTGATCCCTTGAGTCAGAATGAGTGTAATGTAGAGGGTGAGACTTTGATACAGCATAATTCTTATGGTTTTGTGAATGAGCAGACTAAGTGGTCAAGGGAACAAGCTCGTGGAAGTTTTTACTGAATTGAAAGGGACAAGAATTGTCAGCAGATAAAAAGCCTGGGCCTTATAAAGAGGCTATATCTTGGTGGAGTTGCTGTGTTTAAGGGCATTGTTTTCAGCTTTCAGTGCTTAGAAACTTGATTTTGTCCATTAACCTAGGAGTTATTGACTGATTCCTGTTTACCAAACTTATTTACAAAAATTGGTTTATTATTTCACACTCAGAGTAATGTAGGCAATCAGGCATACTAATTGAGACTGAACATTTTTGTCATGTACTCAGTGTTCATGGATAACCAAAAGAATAGAAATAATTATAATAAATTACATTTTATGGTTCTTTATATTTTTAAGATTTTTTCATTCAAAAATATTACTTTGTAAGAACAGAATTGGAACAAATCTTTTTGGGTAGTTTACTTCGCTTTAGGTTATATCTATATACATACTGGGTTATGTATATATATATATAGCCCTATATATACATATTATATCATCTATAGTCTATATCATCTCTAATCAGCCTTTCTTCTTCCATATTATCAATTACCAAAATCTTCACTATTTCTATAAACAAGAAAGTTGTGGCACAAAGAAATTAGTAACTTAATCTTGTTTAAGATTAAGAAAGTGAATAACAGAGGCAGAATTTGAACCCAGGAACCTAGTTGGTCTAACACCTGAACCTATGCATTTGGGGGTTTCATCTTCTCCATTTTATAGGTATTAAAAAAAGTAAAGGTATTAATTAAGCTATTTAAGGAGACATAAGGTGTCTCAGTAAAGATCAATGAGTTTAAATTAGGACTTGAATTCTTTAAAACATGTTCCAGTTATGAAAATATAAAGAAACAGGAAGCACCTTTTGAGAAAAGTGAACTCTTCTAATAAATTTTTTTTCTTAACAAACCAGGACAGTTGAGGATGATTTACTGCTCAAAAAGCCATTTCAGAAAGAAAAACATGGGAAAGTGGCCCATAAACAAGTTGCAGCAGAATTGCTGGATAAGTATGTACCTCAGTGTAAATTCCTTTCTTTGGTTTAAGATGTTTCTGTAAACTTAACAACATGGGGATTTGATTATATTAATTAGAATATAGTCATTTGAATTTACTTAAAATTTGTCTTAACAGGGAAGAAGCAAGAAATAGAAGATTTCATCTCATAGCTATGGATGCTGTATCCTTTTTATATTTCTAGACTTATAACAGAATATTTTAAAATCTACTTTTCGATTTTATAAACTGTGAAGTCAGATAGACCTATATTTTATTTTGAAAGATAAAAGTTTATTGATGTTGGATTTTGCCTTTTATACTTTTGAGCACAGTTCTCTTTTGCTAGTAAGATTTAGAGATGAAAATAATAAAGTATATTACTAATATTCTATAAATAGGTTTACGAAGTCCACGAACTTGCAGATATTTTTTCCAACTTGTTTTTTGCCAGGCTTGTAACACTTCTCATTTTTGCTCTTATCTTCAGTTTCATTTTAACTCTTATTCTCTTCCTACCTGGTTATTTAAGGTCTTTGTAAAACTTGGATTTAAAAGTAGGTCTGTTTATGAACTGTCCTTGGGCCTACTTGGCTTCAGCTTCAGGCATGACTTGGAGCTGTCTTGAAGCTCTATCTTGCTTCCCTGCTACAACCATGTCTCAGCTCAACTTTTTGGTAAGACTGAGGCTTATCAAACTAACTGCTGTCAGTGGTCCTCCATATTACTGTTGGGAATGTTGGAGAGTGAAAAAGAGGCCAAGCAAGATCTGAAGTATTTCTGGGTATTTATTACTGTGGTCAGCCAAGGAAGGAGACATTAATTAGATACACCCCTACCTATAGTCATCTGTTTCTAATCCTTTCTTTTTCTTTTAGTTACAGAGTTCTCTTGTCATCAGTTTATTCCTCTTATCTCCTAACCCCATAGCTTAGCTTTCCCATGGATCTCACGTGCCACTTAGTCCGTTAGCATCTCAACAACTACTCTGCTTTCTGTGACACCACTCTGTTGGTGGGTGTTGGGACATCTAGTTAAGGTGAGAGTAAAAGACTGGTGAGGGTGAAAGTCTACGTCTCATTTTCTGGCATGGGTGGAGGTGGAGGGACAAGTTTTTTCTGGACTGTTTGGCTGGAGTAGTTATTGTCTAAAAGTTATCTATCTTGTTAGGCTTCCTCTCTTGGTTACTCAGTTAGGGAGAGCAGGCTTTCGTTGAGATTTTTTTTGTCTATGCTTGGTGGCATTTTCAGGTTGCCAGCTTCTTTACCTCCCAAGTCTGGGTTTATGAGGCAAAAAGAACTCACCACCATGTCATTCCATGGCTCCTGAGGTCCCTAGCTGATATGCCCTCTTCTCTTCTCCTTTCAGAGTCATCTTTGTTTTATGTTTAATTTTCAAAGTTTTTAGTTGTTCTTGGAGGGATAGGGAGAAGTTATCTCTGTCTACTCCATCCTCCCTTAAGCAAAGTCCTACTCACAACCTGTTTTTGTAAATAAAATTTTGGAACACAGCTATCTGCTTTCATTTAGGTGTTATCTGTCCCTACTTTCATACTAAAATGGCAAGCTGAGCAGTTGGGACAGAAACATGTGACCTGCATATCTACCACTTACTGAAAAAGTTTGCTGACCTTGGCTCTAAAAGATTGAAGACATGACCAATTAGTGATAGACTGAGAGCTAGAACCCTGGATATCTGGCTTTTCTTTTTTTCTCTTCTGAAATGTTAACTGCTTTGTTGCCGGTTTTGGAAATATCATTCTGATTCAGTATTTTATTAGAACAGATTATAACCAACTAGATTATTATTTTTCTTTACTATAACAGGGTGTAGTCACAGACAGTATTATAGATGTGGTCAGTTTTGTTACATGCATGTTCAGCTCTAGAGAGAACATCATTGAGCTTTTTTAAAACAAAAAGTAAAATGCTCATATATCTTGTTATACCACATTTAAAATAAACATTACTGTGGATTCTTTGAATATTAAAACAAAGTATTAAACATAATATCTGATTTCTTATATTCTTATTTTTGAAAGCCTAATGTTAGGATTTAACATTATAAAAGTTGCATTTTCTATTTTAGAAGCTTTATCATTGCTGGAATAACTAAATTACATTTTATAATAAAGGTAAGTTCTAATCCTTACCTTTAATTTTAGAAGCTATAACTTATTTCTCATATTGTGATGACTAAAATGAGTGATGTGAGTTTGTAGATAGTTCAGGATAAAATAGTAAGTGCTTTTTCTCCTGAAATAGAGATATATTTTGTCACAAGAGTAGTATTTGATTCAAAAATGTTCAAAACACTATATATAGTATTAAGTAGAAAGTGAATGCCCCTCTGCTCTACAGTATTCACTCTTAGCTTTAAAATTTACCCATTTAGAATCTTCTTTGAATTTATAAGCATGTATAGTATATGTTTGTATATTAAAAAAACTAAATAGACTCATACTATGCTTTTTTCTCCTACTTAGTAATATATTATGGACACAGAACAACTTATGAGCAAATAAAATCCTTAATTATTTTTTTGTTTTTTTTATTTTACTGTCATTGATCTACAATTACATGAGGAACATTATGTTTACTAGGCTCTCCCCTTCACCATGTCCACTCCCACAAACCCTATTACAGTCACTGTCCATCAGCGTAATAAGATGCTGTAGAATCACTATTTGTCTTTTCTGTGTGCCTCCCCCCACATTATACATGCTTATTGTAATGCCCCTGTTCTTTTTCCTCCCCCTTATCCCTCCCTTCCCACCCATCCTCCCCAGTCCCTTTCCCTTTGGTAACTTCCATTCTTGGGTTATGTGATTCTGCTGCTGTTTTGTTCCTTCAGTTTTTTTCTTTGTTCTTATACTCCAGATATGAGTGAAATCATTTGGTACTTGTCTTTCTCCACCTGGCTTACTTCACTGAACATAACACCCTCTAGCTCCATCCATGTTGTTGCAAATGATAGGATTTGTTTTCTTCTTATGGCTGAATAATATTCCGTTGTGTATATGTACCACATCTTCTTTATCCATTCATCTACTGATGGACACTTAGGTTGCTTCCATTTCTTGGCTATTGTAAATAGTGCTGTGATAAACGTAGGGGTATATCTGTCTTTTTCAAACTGAGCTGCTGTATTCTTAGGGTAAATTCCTAGAAGTGGAATTCCTGGGTCAAATGGT